TTGCCTCCCACGACTAATAGCAACACTTTCATCATTTGTATGAGGACGAAATTTCAACACCTCATAACAACGAAAATTATAAATATTCTCAATTATGACAAGTTAACTTGAAGGGTTAAATTATTCAATATTAACTTATACATATTATGTTTTCAGTTCTAATAAGTTAAGTTAAAGAGAATAAAAAAATATTAATTTTATTATTAATAAACCAAAAGCATGCCAAAATCAGATCAAATAATAATATATTGAAGTTTTATCAAATGTAAAAATACAAATCATAAACTCAGAGGAAGACATCTACGGTCATACTACTCGAAAAGTTTTAGGGATATGCAGTTTCTCGTGATATCCTCCAAAATTGCTTAATGGAAAATCAACTGGATAATACCGGAGAACAATAAAATTAAAATTAAGTAAGGGGAAGGAGTACAGGTGCTTAAACTCACGGTAAGGGGTAGGTGTATAGTGATTAAACTCACTGCATCGTGTACTCAAGTGATCTGTAACTCAAGGGAGGAAGCTGAGAATGTATGAACTACGTAAGAACTATTTATTTCTTTTGTAAAGGTGGAGGTTGGGAGTTTCATATAGTAGACATTTTAGGGTGGTTTTATTTCTACTTTAGGGACTATAAGAACTCTTAAGGGTTACTACCTTCCCACAACTGGCTGCAGACAGTGAAATGCAGTAGGAGTTGAGACGTTGTAGGTGTAAGCACTCAACTCCATACCCTTAATGGACTTTCCATGTTTGCTGGCTAGTTCAACATCAGCGTTTGGATTTTGTCAGATATCCCCAATGCATTTGGGAGTTATTACAACAGGCATTATCCGCTATGACTTTAAGGTGACAACTGGGATTGACAATGGGAACTCTACCAAAACCTGTTTAATGCTTACTTAATATTAAGTTCATTATTATTTTATAATGCTGATTTTAATCGCGTGTTAACAATTAATGCAATTAATAGTATTGGAACTATTTATTTCATTATACGTATATATGTGAATTTCCAAGCCAAGGATAACTTCACTCTCGAAGTATCTTTTATATATAAAAATAAGATTTTCGTCTTTCCATTTTATTCTATAGCTTCATGTTTAAAACTTTTATGTGGATATATTTTAAATTAACTACTTGACAAAAGGAAGTAAAGTAATATTAAGAATCATCAAGTTTATTCAGAAAAGGCTGGACATGGTATACGGTGTTTCAAAACTAGCAAAAAAACGAAACTGGTAATCTGAATTAAATGCTTTTTAATGTACACGACATTGCGAGAATCAATGGATACTGTTCAGGTCAATAGGATCAATGGATACTATTTAGGTCAGCAGAGTCAATGGACATTACTTAGGTCAGTAGGAATAATGGACATTATTTAGATCAATTTTAAAAAAAATGTAACTTGCCTACCTTTTCTAGAACAAAATGCATGTTTCTCATGTACCTCTCAGGACAAGTAGCTTTTAAGATAAAGGCATTTTTAAACATAGGCTTTTCTTTAATATCATCCTGTGTATTACACTTGTTTGTTTGTAGTTAAGCACAAAGCTGCACAATGGGCTATCTGAGCTCTGCTCATCACGGGTATCGAAACCTGGTTTCTAGAGTTGTAAGTCCGCAGACATACCTCTGTGCTACTGGGGGCTAAATATTGTGTGATAGCCACAAGTGTGTTAAAGATACACATAAATATAAACAACTCTGATAATGTGATGCGTAAAAAGCTTTAGGAAATTCATAAAGCTCAGTTAATTAACTAATTCTGAGTAATGCTGAGAAAACAACGCAGAAGCTACATTTCAAAAAATAAGCAGAGGTTGGAGTTACTTTTATATGAATATGGGAAATAGGTTATGTAAGTCTTAAAAATCGGTCAATTAATTTTCTTTCACAGATTGAATAAAACCTCAAATGTTGCAAAAAGTTATGAACACTGAACTAATGGATCAAATCAATTACTTTCACGGAATGTTAAGATAGAACTTCATGACGGAAGTTTTCAATGTGATGCACATATGGAACTGAATAAAGATAAGGTAGGTGAACTTTATTTCTAACATTCCTGAAAGTTGGATAGATAAACCTACGATTATTTTACAATGATATCAAACATAAACGATATAGTTCTAATGTATGTCAGTTGAGAGTGGTCAACTGAAAACGTGGTCTAACGATAGTACTGGCTTTTAGCTTAATCTACAGCTGATACCAGTACCTATCGACTTGCCGTGGTTCAGTGTTGTATGGATGACCTTTTATGTTAAACATTTCGGTACGTTCTCTGGAAGGACTATTATAGTTCTAATATAAAACTATATTTCCTAACAATCCAACTTACTTAAAAGGACATTAAATCTAAGCTATGTTATTACCATTATTAAGTTATTATCTACTTATACACACGTAACTAAAGTCTTTAAATCTGTAGTAATGCTTAATTTTAAATGCTCCACTTTCATCGTAAAGGGTTATATAAAATTGTTTCATGAAATGATAAAATTTCAGACTAATATAATACGCACCATAACCTATTGGACGTTTGATCTAATCAAGAATTTCCTGAAGAGGTAAACAATATTTCTTTAAAATAACAGTTTTACAGCATACTTTTACTCTTTTACAGCCTGCATGGCAAGGTAGTTAGGGCGCTCGACTCGCAATCTTAGGGTCGCGGGTTCGAATCCCCGTCCCACCAAACATGCTCGACCTTTCAGCCGTGGAGTGTTATAATATGACGGTCAATCCCACCATTCGTTAGTAAAAGAGTAGACCAAAAGTTGTCGGTGGGTAGTGATGACTAACTGCCTTCCCTCTAGTCTTGCACTGCTAAATTAGGGACGGCTAGCGCAGATAGCCCTCGCGTAGCTTTGCGCGAAATTGAAACCAATTCCCAATACTCTTTTACATACACAGCGTGGTCACAAGTAAATAGACACCACCTTTTCAGAAAATATGATATTTTTCAGTTATATTCACATGAATTGATATATTTATAATTTAATTAAT